ACTGTATAATTTAAAAGTATATCAATATCCTTTAATTTTAATGATCTTTGTAACACCAAAGCAACAATCTTATGGATGTCCAACCAACCTGGAACATTAACAGAACAAGCCAATACTATATGTGCAAGAATCCCCTAATCCATGTTACACTTCCAACATAATGAAGTTGACAAACAGCCTTTTAAAAATATTCTCTAGAGCATTTTGTAGAGATGAAAACGTCTTTCATTCAGTCAATCTCCTCTGAAGTTAATAAGACATACACTTAATATTTTTAAGACTCTACTCTTGATTCGCTAATATAAAATATTCGAAATCAGTACTGTATTCCAAAGTTCTTGGAAATAACTAGAAGTAGTAGTAGATGTTATGATGGTCACTGACCAGACCTCTACAAGATTAAAAAATAATTAAAATAATTAAACAATTTCTACTTCAAATAAAATAAAATATAAATATAAAATTATAACTAGGTCATTATGGCAACCAAGGGATGTCTAGCTTTATGGACAGTATAACAGAATTTAGCCAGATTCAAGGAAACAGAATTGCACTGGTCTCATAACAAGAAATGTACATAAAATAAATCAGAATTGTCTGAGTGTCTTGCCAGATAGGAAGTCATAAAGTGGGCCCTTATGTCCTTATAGAAGGAGCAAATATAACAGGAATGGGCTAGCTATTCAGTGGATCCTTCACAAGGGCACAATCTTAGCTTGTAAAGAATTTTTTGATATTTGCCCTTGAGAACAGCTGTTAGGAGGACATTGAAAAGTACTAATGTTAGTGCTCCTTGGAATTTGGGGACAGTTATTTGGTTTCAGTGTCTTGCAGCCTAAAACAAGGAGCTTCACTACTCAAGAACATCGTCCTGGGTAGGGTGTTTTTTTTTTTAATCCATTCAATCGTGTCCAATTCTCGGAGACTGCCTAGACAAATCCCTCCAGTTTTCATTGGCAAGATTTTTTAGAAGTGGTTTGCCATTGCCTCCTTCCTAGGGCTGAGATAAAGTGACTGGCCCAAGGTCACCCAGCTGGCTTTATGCCTAGGTAGGACTAGAACTCATGAGCTCAGGGTCTCCCAGTTTCTAGCCTGATGTCTTAACCACTACACCAAACTAGCTGTCCCTGGGTAGGGTAGATTGATTCAGTTGGGCTTCCAAGTTTCTAGCACGTGGCTTGAATGCAATAAGTGCTTGATGATAGTTCATCCTCAGAATGCCCTCTCTTGAGAACACATTGCACTGCAAAGTTTTGCAGGGATGATCCTTGGCGTGTTGATTCCTAACTATCACACATAACGAGCCACGTATGTGAGATGGGCGGCTATATAAATGCAATAAATAAATAAATAAAGTCTGCAATGAACAAAGAACCCAGACCTTTTGGGAAAAACAATAACTTTAACCAGTAGGCAATAGTAAAGATCAGCACACCCATTTCCACTTCAGTTAGACCTTCCTCCCTCCTTAATAGCACATGAGGAACACACGGGGCCACTTTCCAGAAGGGTGAAGGAGCTCCATGGTCCCAACTGAGCACCAAACAAAGTTATATGTATGCCTTAGTCAGATGTAGCTTTAGCACTACTGGAGGGTGGTGTACCCCTCTGTCGAGGTGGAAGGATCCTTTCGTTGCAATGTTTTGCTGATTGTTATGCATTTTGAATCCCATAATTTTGGTTGCTTTGTGGCTGAAAGCACTGGGAAAAATCATGCCTCGTCGTACGGTCTGGCCTTTTAGCCCCCACTCATGCACTGTATGTTACCTTGCTAAGATCTTTATTAAGAACTTCATTTTAATGTAATCTCCAGTGCTTTCTTAAGACAATAAGTGGCTAGGACACTCAGAAGTCATTTTAATCCAACCGATGCTTGTGATTGAAGCACTACATCATCTGTATACAATAAGATTACAATATGTTTATTAGCTACTGGGGGGGTTGATGCTCAGAACTACTTATTTTGGCCACAAGAGGGGTTATGTACAAATGGAACAGCAGGGGAGGCAAAATTCACTCCGGTCTTACTCTTCTTTAATTTGGAATATATTTAATACAGAGTCTTTCCATGCTACAACAAACTTTTGTTCTGGACTTCTCATGGAGTTTGAACATTAACAGAAGCAGCGCTCTCTCTCTTGTAGCATGCATGAATTTACCCGCAACTTTGTTCTGGAAATGAAATAAAAGGTAGCTCTGAAGTCAACGAATGCGATGCATAATACAGAACCTGACTCAGAGAAATATTTTGGTCCGATGTTGAACTACAACGATGTGGTCAAAGACAAGAGTGTCCAGCTTTAAAACCTGCCTATTTGCCAAATATGCTCTGAATTGACCTAACTGGACAATTTATTATATAAGTGTTTGGCATAAAGCTTACTTATTATGCTTAAGAAGTTGATGGGCTGGTAATTAACAGGTAAGTGTTGACTGCTTTTTCCCATCATAGTGATGATCTTTCATTATTTATAAAGGAATAGAATAGGTTTAGGTTTATCCAAAGCACCTTCCGGTGCTCACAATCCAGGAGCTGTATGTGATTCTAACATATCCGGCCCAAACTGTGAGCCGAGGAGTAGTTTAATATCATGCAATTTCATAATTTTAGGTAATCTAAAGTCCTCCTGGAATATTATGACAATGAATATTTCAGACATGCCAACAGAAATGCTCATATGCACGGACAAGTCCACAGATAGAATAGACTGGGTAATTGCTTGAAAACCTGTAAATGGTTAAAAAAGTCACAAGCACAACAGTGTTTATGCTAGATGAAATATGCTTCAAGATACAGACAAACTTTTGGTGGGGAATCTCAAACAGGTATGAAAATACAATGAAGCAAGCTTACCAGTGAACACACACAAAACAGAGAAATCAAATCTAAGAAGTCTGCTTATCTGTAATATAACTTGCACATCTTGTGCCTTTCTCTGTATTTTGTAACAAAAGATTAGTCTAGTAAGGATGTTAAATTTAGATTAGGGTCTAGCCTGATTCTCTTTGCTTTTAGCATCGGTTAATAAAAATGAAGGGCTTGAGATGGTGGTGGTTTTTCTGTTTCTATACAGTATGTCTTCCTTTCAAATCGTTTCAGCTGCAAGACGTTAATACATCACCTGAAAACTGTGCTATCTTCCTTCAAAATCATGCACATATACAGACATTTAGTCAATTAACAAATGACAAATTGATAGGATGACTTGACATGCAGTATTGTAGCCCACTTCTTCTAATCTCATAGCAACATTAAATGACATCCCCCCTTGAATCATGGTGTGTGTGCAGGTATGTGTCTACAAGTGTGTGACAGAGAGAGGAGAAGAGTTGGGGTTCTTTGAAAAGATACTTTTTTTTATTCTGATGGAACTGTGCCCAAATTTAATATCGACAAAATATTAATCCTAGCAGCACTCTTCAATTAGATCAAAAGCCATCAATACCAAAACTTCTGCAACTCCCCTGACAGCATCTGTGGATCCTCAAAACCAAGTATTAACCATTTGGGGGGGAAAGCCTTTCTAAACCTACAGCCATTGTTTTCAGAGCAAGGCACTGCTACAAACTAAGCTAGGGGTAATGTCCCTCTTGCTGGATGGAACAACATTAAGGATTAACTACTCACCAAGAGGAAATAAGATTGTGACCTTTTATATCAACAAAGGGGAGGAAAAGGGGAGGTTTGCTAAAGCTTATCTTGTGCAACGGAATATAGATAGAAGCAACTGACATCTTGGACCAGGGCTGCCATCTGCCTGCTCATACACAATCACAGGAAGAGGCAAAAAGCATAGTCATAGAGGACTTCGATGTCCTCTATTAGATGTGGTGTTTGAAGCTGAGGAGCAAAGAGCAGATTCAGGGCTACTTTGCAGCTATCTGCTTCCACCTCAACTGCATTGCTTCCATGCTTCCTCCAACAGGAGTCCTTTCCACCTGTATTACAAGCCTCACAGAATGTTGACAGGCAGCTTAGACTCAGGTTCTGAGGCTGTCCATCAGTTCTCCAGCTGGTGAGATATTTTCCTGCCCTCGGAAAAAGCAAATGCATGGCTTGTACAAAACTATGGTATTGGGGTTTTTTCCCCTTCTTCTTCTTTTGTACGCTGCTTTTGATCACGGATGAAATTTCAGAAGGAACTTTCTCCAAATCGTTTGGAGAAGATTTGTTCACATCTCCTCCAAGTATACACCATTTTCTACGAAGCTTTTGAGAAGAGAAGGACAAACACCAACAGTCCATATGCATTGATTCTGCCTGTCCTGCAACAGGGTCAGTACTGATGGATCACACCATTTCATTCTTAAACCCATGTAGATTTCTTTTACATCCCTAGTGTGCACCCACACACAGCTACACACACAATTTGGGGCTGGATTAACTTTAGATTTTTGTTACCCACCCATGCCTCAAGTTAGAGCAAAACATGAAAAGTGTTCTCTGTTTCAATCCTAGTACTTCTTAAGTCTTCTTCCCTTCCCTTCCCAACAAAAAAAGTTGCTCTGGTTTTGAGACAAACAAATGTGAATATGCAACAGTTTATATAAAAACCTACTATAGCTCTAAGAATTGAACGTTTCCAACTTGGCTAACAACTTTTTCACAAGAACAAGACTGCAACTTCATTTTTCAACCGTAGAGCATGTATGAAACAGCAGGACTAGCCTGAATGGCTATTTCCTCCCTTATCCAGCTGGATTCCATCTTCCATTTAGTGAAGAACAATTCATGATACGGTCATGCAAGGATCATTTTGGCAAGCTTAAATAGACAACTAGGGCACCTTATGTAACAACAACAGTAGCAATAATATGCAGACATTCCTCTAAAGAAAGTTCAGATATTTTGAGAACATTTTTCAAAAACATGCCATTGCATTGTCATTAACAACATCTTACAGACAATATCAAGATGGTTTAACTTGTCCAGCTGCAAGTGATCCAACAGGTTGGGCTTTTTGATAGCTTTCTTTTAAAAAAAAATGAAGTAGTGTCTCCTACCTATCAATGATCACAGGATCCGAAGGAGTCTCGTTACGGTTCCCGCAACTTTTCTTCTCACAGCAACGACTGACGATGGAACAAGCACAAGAGGAAAACTATTCAGTATGTATCACAAGCAGTGCTACATCATTGCTTTTAGGGTTCTATTCTCAGTTACCTGAATTCAAGGGCAGGCACACGGTGCGTGAGAATGTCACAGTACCCTGCACAGTGTCCATTCTCACCAGTCGTTGTACAGTCATCTCACCAGACACACAGCTTCCTTGGCTTCCCACATTCCAAATAATACATTTCAGATCAAAAAAGGAAGGCCGCCCTTGGGGAGAGAGCCGTACAGCAGAAAAAGGTAGAAAGAGGAAAACACGAGGACCTTCTGCCATTTTGCAGCAATTAAGTCTGTTCAGAAGTTCTTCCAAAAGAAGGTTGATACAAATCTTAATGCAATCTAAGAATGAGATAGTATAACAGGACTTGTCTGTCTGTTTTGTTTTGTTTTTGCTGAAGGAAAGAGAAGTAGGGAAAATCAAAGACAGACTTCACCAAAGTATGAACACGTATATCCAGGCACAGTATCAGCTTCTTTGGACATCCCTCTATTAACACTGATACCCACAGCAATGGGTGACCTTTTTAATGTTCCATAAAGTCCTGTGGTAACCTTCTGTCACTGGAAATTAAAATGTCCCTCCCCTCTGCAAAACCCTAGTGGACTGAGCCCTCCCACACATTACTCCTCAAAAGTATAAGCTGGAATTGCAAGCTGATATGACTATGTAAACCTTCTTTGTTGTAATGCCACTGCAACTGGAGCCCCATCATTTAATGACAATCAAGCGCTGAGGATGAGATAAAATAAGCATTTCCAAAATAGAGATAGAATGGGTAGCTTTGCACAAAACACCCAAGTCAATTCAAAATCTAGTCGCTGCATTCACACATGCTAAGCTTGATTAGTATGTAACTGTGGTTAGGCTTTGGGTGGCTTTCATTCTGTATGAACTGGATGCATTGGGCAAACTCAAAAATGGCTTAATTCGATAACCAAGATAAGGGTGTTTTACACACAAGGGACCAGTTTGCATTTTTTTGAGGGTCCCAAATGAGAGCATAAGATGGTCCATGATAGACTTCCCTTGCTGTAGTTTAGATCTGAAATAATCCAAAAAACTGGAAAGAATGCAAGGACAAGAATCTAAAGGTTCTGATTAATAGCGTATATTAGAACAGGGTTCCTCCACCTTGGCACCTTTAAGACAGGGGGACTTCAACTCCCAGAATTCCCCAGCCAGCCTGCAGCCCTGGGAGTTGAAGTCCACCTGTGTTAAAGTTGCCAAGGTTAAGGAACCCTGTATTAGAAGGAAGGTTAAGGTTACAACACAGGAATTTCAGCAAGTGTGCTTCTTTCAAATGAAAAACCTATATAGAGGTAATTCAGGGCATGAACGCTCTTCTTTTCTTCCTCATTTTCCAGTGTAGGGGGCTGAAAGCTTGCCTCTTTTGTAAAGAGGGGACAGTCTGTTTCCTTTTTCATAACTGGCAGCCTTTTTATCAATGTAAGAAGTAACTCTTCCAGTCCTAGGTACAAAAGGAATGAATCCAACCAACAAATCTGTAATTTACCAGTCTGGATACAATAGTAGACTCACATATTTTTAGCAATCCATAGTAGTATAACCCTGATTTGCTGACCAAGTCACAATTTATTGGGGTCATACATAACACGCAACCATAAATATTTAATTAATATTTAATTTTGGTGTTTTCTGTAAACCACCCAGAGTCACTTTCTAGTGAGATGACCAAATGTGAAATATAAATAAATAAAAATAAAGTATGACTTACAAAACACAGTGGTTCACATATTCTGCTAAGCCATGGTTTCTCAGACCATGATATATTGGTTAAACTACAGGTTGAATTCACATGTATTGAGCCATAGTTGATGGCTTCCAAATCAAAAAGGCTGCACTGATGTGATATGCTAAGTCAGTACCAAACAAGGTTTATCATAAATTAGTATGATGTGACAATCTGTATATTACTAGGATCTATTTTCTTCAGGAAGTGTGTGGGATCTAGAAGACAGAAGTCCTTCTGTGTCCTGACCTGAAATAAGTTAGTTGAAAACAAATGGCTTTTAAATAAATAAGGTGGAACCACAAATCAAGCAGATCAGCCTGATTCGATCAGTTTCCCAGAACCAGATAATATCTCATTGGAATGGTCTCTTAGACCAGTGGTCTCCAAAGTGGGGTGCACATACCACTGGGTACCCTTGATTATCCATCGGAGTATGGGAAAATATTAGAATTATACTTAATATACAAAATTAGAGAGATATAGAGAAATGTTTTATAATGTACATAATATAGAAGTATAATAGTACAGGAATATAAGAGCCAGTTTTGCAGAGTGGTTAAAGGCACCAAGATGGAAACTAGAAGACCACAAGTTTCAATCCTGCCTTAGGCATGAAGCCAGCTGGGTGATTTTGGGTGAGTCACACTCCTTCAGCCCTAGAAAGAAGACATGGCAAACCACTTCCAAAAATATTGCCAAGGAAACTGTAGGGATTTTGTTTGTTTGCTTATTTATTTGCCATATTTATATAGCCACCCATCTCACAAAATGTGACCCTGGACGGCTTACAATGAAAAACTATAAAATAGCAATATAAAAAACAATCAACAATGAAACCATTAATATACAATTAAAAAGCAAGGAGAGAGCATCAGATATTACAGACAATTGAGCCATTTCATCATGGTGATAACTCGTCCATGTTATCATCAAGAGTCAACACTGACTTGAAGGCACAAAGCGTGTGCGTGTGTGTGTGTGTGTGTGTGTGTGTGTGTATTACATACATATATTGGAGGTTTGTCTTAAGGGGTTTTTTTTACTGATAAGAGTGCACAGTCCACAAAAATTGGTGACCACTGTCATAGATGACTAAGCTTCTGCTAAGCAGCAGCTTCTGCACTGCTTTCTAGCCATCCACAATGGTGGTGCTAAAGAACAGTAGAAAAGTGGACACCAATCTCCAGCAAACTAAGATTGTTGCTAAAAGAGTAGAACTTATCCTAGGCGTTTGCACACTCAGTGGCAAGAATGCCACTGAATCCTCAGTGTCCCCACTAACCCTTCTTAGAAATTTAAAGGACAGCCACTGCAACTCATTGATTAATTTACCTGACCAGAAACAGGACAAAGGGGAGCTGGAGTATTCAACAGAGTCTTGGGAGGGGCATTGCCAAAAGAGGTGGAATTCTGGGAAACTGGGGGCATGTGATTGGTTATACCTCCCATATCAGCTGTTTTATGAATGGGCAATCCTTCCAGCAATGTAATGGGCAGTAAGAATAACCCTGAAGAAGAGGAGGAAGAGCTACAACCAAGACAATGGTCAGATAAAAGAAATCTGAGTCCAGGGCAGAAATGTAATTTGAGAAAGTGTCTCAGACTTGACCCTCCCTAGTCACCACAGATATAAAGAGAGGATGGGGAGCATATTCAGACTTGCAGGATTCTATTACTGTAACCTTACAATAAAAGTAGTATTAGCATTCATAACTCTGGTTTCCTAGTCCGGTCTATCACGAGGGGCAGACAAGCAATCATTTTATGGGAGAATTCAAAACAGGTTTGCCATATTCCAAATGGACCTAACAGTCTGAAATGGTTAGGGATTCCTATCATCATTAAATATGTGCATGTATAAATAATTACTATAATTTACAGTACTCAATATTATAATGGGAACAATGTTCACCAGATGGCCTATGGGACGGTTCAGCCTTCTGCCTGGACATAATGAGTGATGGTCATCCTAAGCTGATTCCTCTGTCTTATGGCTCTAGATGATGAAAGCCAACTTGAATAGAGCAGACTAAATCATAAACCATGACTTACAAAATCCCAATGGCTGCTGCATAAACCCTGTTATGCAAAAACAGGGGTTTAATCAGTGAACTTTTCTTCTATCAGGAAACAGCTTAGATGAGGTTCATAACAGTTTTATTTCCTAGTCCTTGACCAGTTCAAGACTTGCACTGGCATAGCTTGGCTATATTGTATGGAGAGCAAAACGCCCCATGCCTGGGCCTCACGGTGCAGGATGTCTCCTCTTCTTATAAGGACATAAAGTATGCTTTGCATGCCAGACTCCAATTCCTGGCAATGCAGGAAAGATTAGGAAAAGCCCAGCCTGAAATTCTAGAATAGAATTTCTACTAGAAATTCTACTCTTAGCACTGGATTAGGCTGAGTTCAGATATCTTTCTAAGCTTTAGACTGGCTGAACACATTGAGCTAAGGCATAATGTAGTTTGCTTAGTTTAGGCTTGCTGTGCTGTGTTGTGTTGGCTGCCCAATTATGGGATGTGCCTGAGCAAACCATTGCTACCTCTAAGGTGTGACCTGTTCTTTTCAAAACATGATTTGTGGATAAGCATGGCATGACCCTAACCTGTTCAGGCTTAGTTAATAAACCATGGTTGATACAAGTCCATATGTTTGTGAATATATGAATCCAGCCAATGTAAAGCAGGTTCTCTTTCTTCATTTCTAAAGTAGGGGATATCAATGGAAGCTTAGCTGCTGCAAGTAGCAGACATGGAGAAGCTGATCCAAATTCCAGATGAAGGTGTGAAGATCAATGGGCACCTTCACTGCCACGATCCCAGTCTGGATTATGAACCTTGTATCAGCTTTTGCTTTATTAAAACAAACACAATCAGTTCCTGATTTTCTGAATGCTGAATGTAAGATTGAGTGTGCTTGATGGTAGACGATTATCCACATGCCCAGGACTACAGAAAGGATAGTGTGAAGAACCTGGATGTCTCAAAAATCTCCGCTGCTCAAAAAACGGTTTACATCTTTTCCCTCCCCCTTCCCAAAAGGTTTTAAAATTCAGCCTTCAACTTTCACTAAAAAAAAAAAATCTGTCTCTAATTTCAAACTGAAATAAGCCCCCAGCATGGTGGCCTTTGTTTTGTTGTCTTCTGCTCAACTCCTCCCTGGCATTGCATAACAAAAGTGTCTAAATTCACACCATCTGGCCA